GGGCCCGTTGGGCAGACCATTGAAAAAAAAATCCGAAACCCCTCCAGACCCGTTTCCCTAGGTGCCCTGCCGGGGTCGTCTTCGCCAGGATGTAACCGACCTGAGCCGGGGCCGCCCCAGAAGCGCCCTAAGTGCCCTAGGTGCCCTAGGTGCCCTAGGTGCCCTGCCCCCTCCCGGTCCCCCCCAGGTGCCCTAGGTGCCCTAGGTGCCCTGCGTCTGGAAGAAGTAGCGTGGCCTCGGCGGGCAAAGTGCCCTAGGTGCCCGAGGTGCCCTGGGACCCTGCTCAGGGGAAAAAAGGGGGGCAGGGCACCCAGGGCACCTAGGGCACCTGGGGGGGACCGGGGCCGGGGAGAGGGGGCAGGGCACCCAGGGCACCTAGGGCACCTGGGCACCTAGGCCACCCGGGGAGAGGGGGCAGGGCACCCAGGGCACCCAGGGCACCTAGGGCACCTAGGGCACCTAGGGCACCTAGGGCACCTAGGGCACCTAGGGCACCTAGGGCACCTAGGGCACCTAGGGCACCTGGGGGGGGACCGGGGCTAGGGCACCTAGGGCATTTAGGGCACCTGGGAGAGGGGGCAGGGCACCCAGGGCACCTGGGGCACCTAGGGCACCTAGGGCACCTAGGGCACCTGGGGGGACCGGGGCCGGGGAGAGGGGGCAGGGCACCCAGGGCACCTAGGGCGGGGCCGGGGAGAGGGGCAGGGCACCCAGGGCACCTAGGGCACCTAGGGCACCTAGGGCACCTAGGGCACCTGGGGGGGACCGGGGCTAGGGCACCTAGGGCACCTAGGGCATCTGGGGGGACCGGGGCCGGGGAGAGGGGGCAGGGCCCAGGGCACCTAGGGCACCCAGGGCACCTAGGGCATGTAGGGCACCTGGGGGGGCAGGGCACCCAGGGCACCTAGACCACCTGAAGGGGACCGGGGCCGGGGAGAGGGGGCAGGGCACCCAGGGCACCTAGGGGACCTGGGGGGGACCGGGGCCGGGGAGAGGGGAGAGGGCACCCAGGGCAGCTAGGGCACCTAGGGGCCGGGGCACCGGGGAGAGGGCGCAGGGCACCCAGGGCACCTAGGGCACCTGGGCCGGGGAGAGGGGGTACCGGGGCACCGCCGGGGAGAGGTAGGGCGCCTCCGGGGCACCACCATGTTTTTTTTTGTGTTTTTTTTTTACGGGCTCCGTTTTTTGGTGGCGTCTTTGATGGGTTCCGTATTTGGTACGTTTTTTTTGCTTGTATTGTTCAGTTGATTCTTCTTCTTCAAAAACAAAAGAAAGAAGGGGAAAAACTCAAGAAAAAAGAAGAAGACAAAAAATCAACCACCCCAACCGCACAAGCCACAGGACAAGGACCCAAGTGCCCTAAGTGCCCTGGCTCCCCTTCAACTCTCCGAGGTTGCGGCCGGCTCAAGGTCACGGTCTCTCAAAGTCACGGGGTTCAACCTCACAAGCAAGGACATCAAGGTCTCGATGAAAACAAGGATGAGCGGGTTAAGGGGACAAAAACGGCTTGCCATTTAGGGCGGAGGGTCGCAGCACAGCCAGGCTCCCGGCGAACAGCCTCGCTGCCCCCCAGACCCCCCCCAGAAGCGCCCTCCAAAAAAAGGGGCTGCAGCACGTCCCTTTCCCTCAAGTCCACAACCAACGTCACGTGCAAAAAGAGACGTGTCACGGCAAGAAAATCCATGCGTGAAAACCGTGCAAAAACGAAATTTTCAGAAAACGCAAAAACGCAAAAACGCCTTTTTTTCCGCAAGAACGCCTGTTCAGGGCACTCGGGGGACGAGGGGGGGCACGCCAGAACAGAGCCGGGTGACAGGGGACGCCCGGGGAACGCCAACAGGATCCTTTTTTCAGCTCTCGCAGCCATGCGGGCCCGGGGGAGGTCCGCACGGCCTTTGCACCCACGCTACAACGCCACGCCGCCAAAAAAACGCGATTTTTGCCCTCAAAATCCGTGTCATGCTCAAAAAACATGCCAAGTTCAGTGCACAAGTCTTCAAAACCCAGGCCGTGTTCCTACAAGGTTTGATGTCTCTTCAAGACCCTCGCACCCGTGGAGATGCCTCAAAAAATTGTCTCCCATCAAGTTCAGTCCACACGCCTTCTAAGCCTAGGCCGTATTCCTGCAAGGTTTGACGCCCCTCCAAGACCCTCGCATCCATAGAAAGAATCGTCTCCCATCAAGTTCAATACACATGCCGGCCAAAAAAAAACGAGCACGTCCTCTCGACGTCAGCAAACCTTCCTGCCAAGCAGCTGGGGCCTGCGTAGCCCCCAGAGCTTGTGACAGCTCCACCCCCCCGAGCTTGTGACAGCTCCATCCCCCCCCCCCCCTGGAGCTTGTGACAGCTCCTGGTGCCTGCTCGGCACTCCCCGGTGCCTGCTCGGCACTCCCCGGTGCCTGCTCGGCACCCCCCCTCCGGTGCCTGTTCGGCAGCCTTGCGCTTGTTCAGCGCCCTCCCGCTGCCTGTTCGCATGGTCAAACATGGTCACGCCGTCTTTTTTTTCGCAACGCCCTAGGGGACCCCAGGGGCCCTGGGGACGGGGAGGAGCCGGGCGGTTGCCCGGACCACTTTTTTTCCGCCGGCCTAAGAAAAGCAATCGACAACAATGGCATCCTGGGCAACACAACGAGAGAACATCAGGCAGGCGGTCGAGGCCGGATCGAGGGCCCGGGACACGGATGACGGAAGCCGTGTCTTGGGCTTGAGGCGGGGCCGAGGCGCCTACGCGTTGCTCCAGCGCGCGGACGGGAGCGTCACCAGGGCCGGGGAGGCCTACTTCGGCATGCTCGGGCGGCAGCCAGAGTCGAGGACCTTCGACCCAAGGCAGCCGCTGGGTGCGGCCGACTACGTGCTACTGCAGAACGGGCAGCGGGGCCTAGTGCGGCGGCTGCGGGAGGACGGCACCTACCAGCTGACGAACCTAGGGAGGCGGTTCTTCAAGAACAAGTACTCGCAGCACGTAGCACACATCCCAGTGTCATCAGGGGAATGCGGCGGGCCGGCAAAAACGCGGGCCGGGCTTACGAGCGCAGGGACTGGCTCCCCGCCAATGTCCTGGGTGGGGAGGCCAGCCGGCAGCCCGACAGGCTGTCGGAGCAGCAAATACTGCAAAACGTCAAGCGGGATGGTGGCCGCGGGGGACGAGGACCGCGCCGCCGGCAGGGCGCCCATCATGGAACTCAGCGACGAGACGTACTTCTACGACCCGGAGGGGGAGTGGGTGGTGTCCTCGGAGACGACGCAATACCGGAACAGCCGCGTACACGTAGAAACCATCCTGCGGCAGAGGCTGCGAGGCCTGCGCCGCGTGTCGTACCAGCTGCCGTGCTTCAACAATATCCTGGAATGCGCATTCGAGGACTCGGGGACAACGCCTGCGTGCCGCGGCAGCGGCCCGGAGCTGCGGCTGCTGGGCAACCAGAGCGCGCGGGTCTTCCTGGAGCGGGACGGCGGGGCGCACCAGTGCGAGCTCATCATGATCAACGACGAGGCGCTGGTCCAGACGAAGAGCCTCTCGACGCAGCTGCCCCTCACCACAAACCAGAGGAACCCCGGCTGCCTGGTGATCGCCGGCAACACGGGCAACGTGGTCTGCAACACGAGCTTCACCAACTTGTCGGACAGCCGGGTGAAGACGGAGATGGCCGAGGCCGACCTGGGGGAGCTCCTGCAGCTCTTCGACTCCGTGGAGGCCAAGCAGCACAAGCGCCCCGACATGAACGGGGACCTGAGGCTGGGCTTCGCCTCGGACGACTTCGCAGGAACGAAGTGGAAGAACCTGACAGGGACCGCCCGGTGGAGTGACGGCACAGAGATGGTGACCCTCGACTACTCGCACCTCACCAGCGTGCTCTGGGGGGTGTGCAAGGGCTTCCAGGCCCGGCTGGACAAGCTGGAAGAACAAGAAAAAAAAATGGACGTCCTGGCCGACGACTTCAATGTGCGGGACCCCCGCAAGCTGTACCGCCTTGCGCGGCAGCGGAACATGGACGTCACGCAGCCTGAAGACCGACGTGGGCCGGCAGGTGCAGGCCCCGCGGCCCAGGGCCCTCGGCAAGTCCGCCGCGGCGGAGGGGCCCGATCGACTTCAGCCAGAACACCAAGGGGAAGACCAAGTACGGCCTCGTGGTCATGGACGTCTTCACCAGGGAGGCGGCCGTGGAGTCGCTGCAGAGAAGAGCGCCGCAAGCGGGCCACCCGGGAGCTGGTGGGCGAGGAGCGCAACTTCGTGGTCACCACGGACCTGGGCAACGAGCTCGCCTCCCTGGACCGGGAGCTGCCCGAGGAGGCCGTGCGGCCCGAGGACCGCAACGCCACGGCCGTGATCGACCGGGGCATCCAGACCCTGAAGAAGGACCTGGCCACGCGAGTGGCCCGCAAGACGCCCGGCCGCGCGAGACGGTCTACGGGGCCCCAGAGGACGTGGAGCGGCAGCCGGCCACCGAGTTCCGGCTGCTGCAAGACAACGCGGACAAGTTCCAGCACAACAAGGATCTGACCGACCGCCGCATCAAGGCCATAGAGGACGCGGGGGCCTTCAGGGCTCCCACCAACGCCGCCCGGAGCTTCAACCCCCAGTACGGGGACGTGCAGCGGCTGCAGGCCGTGGACTCCATGACGGTCCGCAGCACCGAGAGGCGGGAGACCCTGCTGAAGCTGGCCCTGCCGGCGCCCCAGGGCAGCGGCAACGCCGCGGGCAGGCTGACGAGGCGCGGCCGGCCCGCTGCGGCAAGGCAGCTGGAAGACTTCTTGGGGCAGCCCAGGAGGCCGGGCCAGCACAAGGCAAAAAAACATGTCTTAGCATATTGATGGGCTTTGGGGCCAAATCGCATGTAGCCAATTCCACATTTTCATGCGTTTGATTCGTCACTCACCGGCTGCCCTCAAAATGCAAGCATTGAGAAAAGGAAACAAAAGGTCTCAACAGCCCCCTAAATCGTTCCATGGCCTTCCTCGGTTCCCCAATCTGCTCGTTCTGCACCCAGAAACTTTTTTCCTCATGCTCCGCAATTCTTTGAGCCCCGAGATCCAATTCTAGGCCAGGAAATGGCACAGCAGCAACAATTCAGCCTTCAAGGTTTGGCCGCCCTGGTTTGATAGAAGGCTCTACCAGCGTAGAAGCCAAAGTACTCCTGGTACTGCGCTTCAGATACGAAGATCAAGCGCTGTCCGCCGGTTTGTGGCACAGTCTCTGTCCTTGTCAGCAAAAGCACCAGGATGTCAGCTGTGTCGCATGCTTTGTCACGCTCGTTCTCCACTATGAATGGAGAATTGCCCTTCTTGCATTGCAAACATTCAGAGATCGTGTGATTGTTGCCCTTTGCCCTCACCTCTTCCAACATGAGAAAGGCATCAGCAGCTGGAGCTCCGGCAGCATTCACGACCAAAACACGTTTGTCAGTCAACGTCACTGTAAGGTTTTGGTCTGTCATTTCAACTACGCACTGGTGCATTCCCAGTCCCTTAAGTAAATTTGTCCGAGCTTTGGGATTGCCGCAGCGTGAGGACCTCGACAACAATTGCTTCCTGGATTTGGCAAATTGCAGATGCCGGTTGATGACCTTGGTGCTTTTCAAGCTGTCAGGCTGGATCACTGCACCCCTGTGTAGATCGGCAATGTCAACTAGTTGTCCATCCTCAAACGCAGAAGCTCGCAACACTCGAAACCTGGCATTGAATTCTTCCCACTGTTGCCAGGTTGGTTCTGACTCAAACAAGCGGTAGTCCATCAAGTTCCACGGTTGCAAATCGTCAGAGAACTTAGACAAACTCAGCATCAAGTACAACCAAATGTAGGGCAAGTCGATGCGGTACTGCGAGGAGTCGCCGTCCTTGAACTTGACGCGGATAAGCTCCACCTTCTCAGGATCTAGATTGCCGACCATTTCGCCAGACAAAATCCATCTGCCTGACAGAGCTGCGCGAAGCAGTTCCTTGAGGTCTGCACCCGGCTCAATCTGAGTGGCGTCAGGATACTTCTGCCTCAATTGTCTCATAACTGCACCCACCAAGGCAGTTGCTGCAGCGTTGGGCATCTCCATCAAGGCCTCTAGAAGGCACTCCAAAGCTCTGCCATGCCCGCCCATGTCTTCGACCAGGAGGTCTTTTAGGCGGTGGCCGGGCAGCACCGGCTGTTTGTTGCGGGTTACGGCGGTCACGCGTGGCAGCTCCAGAAAAACTCGGGCCTGGGGACTGCCAGCAAGTCCACTCTTCACATTTTGCAAAGCGGCCACACAGGCTACGACAAAGGGGCCTTCCACTTGGTCGACGAGGCGGCAGACCTCCTGCATCACCTGATAGAATGGCAGGTCCTTGCCCGCAGCATCACTGCGGTCAGCAAATCCAGGCAGACCTTGCATCCCGTCGACTCCGATCACCACCGTGGTATGATTGAGCTCATCACGCAGCACAGACCTAAGCACAGGCGAGGGTGTGAGGTCGGCAGGGCATTGGATGCGGAATTCGGCGAAGTCTGTTGGAGCGCCGACCTCCCGAAAAGCCTCTTTGTTTGCATTCCGCAGCTGCCACAGCATGCGGCATGCCACAAAGCGTCGGGCATTGAGCTCCTCCGTGGCCCAGTCCCCGGGAGAGAGGCCGTTCTCGCAGCTGATCATGAAGCTCCTCGTTTGCTTGCTGAATTTCAGTTTCTGCCTTTCAGACACATTCTGCAAGCACTGCTCGACCAGGCCCGGGAACTCTGTCAGCAACCGGGACTTGCCTTGCCCTGGGCCTGCAAATGCGATGAACAAAGGATGAAGCTGTTTGTCACTGTTCTTCCCCTTTTGCTCGTGCAGCTTCTGGATGGGGATCTGCATGCTTTCACGCAGCACCTCCTTCCCACAATAGTCCCATGTGGCCCCAACTGTTGCAAGCAGTTGGTCGGCTGCTCCAAACTTCAACTTCTTCGCGAGCAACTTCTCGCACCAACTGCTCCGTGCCTGTCTCCAAAATCGGGCGCGGAGGAGTGTAAGGACATCAGCAATTGTTGGATTTATCGAGTCGGGTGGCTCCGCCTCAGCAAAAGAATTTCAAATCAGGCAGATATGAGCAGGTACATCTAAAATTGAACAATAGAAGGGGATGGAATGGCAGCACAACGGGCCAAACCATCGAACAGGAACTCTGCCCGTGGATGCAAAGCCGGGAATGTATGGTTGAACTCACTGCATCAAAGAGAACATTCACAGAATGCACTTGGGCCTTCAGCAGCCAGGACCCCAATGGGTGCAGAGACATAAAGACATCAGAGTTTGCCCTCCCTCTCCCCGACGGCAGAAGGGCAGGTCTTGCTCTTTGAAAAGCAAGCTGAAGGCAATGACAAAATCACTCACAAGGATCAACGGCACGTCTCAATCAATGTTGACCGGCAGGAATGACCGACCTCCAACAAGGAATGGCAACCATCCGTTCATGGGGGGCTCCATACCGAGCCTACCAAGGACACGAACCGCCGCAATCTGCAAAAATGCTATCTTGGGATTTCCTGGTTCTCTGGATGCGATCAGGGCAGCCCCACTGAAAGCATTTGCGGGCCGCGGGGGGAATTTCAAAACCACACACAACGACCAACGGCTCAGAACGCAGCCGGCCGGCGGAAGCGACCGACTCCGCCCGCCTCGGACTCCTTCGTCCGGCCGCTTGCCTTCGCCTCCTTGACCTCCTTCTTCGCCTCCTGGACCTTCCTCTCCGCCTCCTGGACCTTCCTCTCCGCCTTCTCCACCTTCCTCTCCGCCTTCTCCACCTCCTCCTTGGCCTCCTTGACCTCCTCCTTGGTGCCTGATTCCTCCGCCTTCTCCAATCTGGCGGCGGCTTTAACCAGACTCTTCATCACCATCTCCACCTGCTGCTGGGCAGTCTCAACCTGCCGCTGGGCGCTCGCTTGCTGCTGTCGCGCCAGGAGCAGGTCCTGCCCAGCTCGACTCACACGCCGAAGCGGCGCGCACAAACAGACGGCCTCGTTCAAGCCCTTTGAGGCTGCTTTGGCCTGTGTCACAAAGAATGCCACGACATGTGAACTCACCTTTTGGCAAAAGAAGCAAACAGTCCTGCCTCCTCCACAAACTCGCGCAGTTTTTGTTGCAACTCGTCTTTCAGACCTGAAAGGGTCCACTTCCCTGGATATATCTTCTGCGCTTTTCCTGAGCTCAACACTTTCACCGCTCTTGCAACCCCGACCCACGTGCTGCTCCAGCGGCGCAAGACGGCTTTGGTCTCTTTCGCCGTGCCGTTGTCCTCCAGCACCCTGTCGGCTTCTGCGACCACCTGAGCGAGGCCAAGCTGGGACGTCGCTTTCTCTGAAGGCCCGCCGCCTCCTCGAGATCGAGCCGGTCCTGACAACCAACAAGCCCAACGTTCAAGCCTGATGCACGTGTCCCCGGCCTCGGCACTGTTGTCCTGGCGGCAACCGGCAAAAGATGCGAACAGGCTTCGGGTCGGAGGAGTCCTCTTGCGCAGCCCCGGCGCGCCGAGCGACTCCGGCATGCAACGGGTGCCGTTTTGCCTGAAAGAGCCAAAGTGCAATCTGCTTGCGCCTGCGGGCAACTCTGAGAACTGGGCCAATATGCTGTCCTGGCACTCAGCACGAAACAAGAACATGCAAAGGAGGGACTTCATGCTCCTTCAGCCCAGGAACTCCTCGAGCAAAGTCCTGGGCGGCGGCGACAAGGGACTCCTGAAACCCGAAAACCTTCGAAAAAAATGTGTCCCAAGACCCAGGCCGTGCTCGGCTGCACGAGCAGCGCCAATGCAATCCCGAGAAGGCAGAGGCACATACCTGGCCGCTGCCTACCGCGGGCACGGTAGCGTCACAAGCTTGCCAGCCTCGGCTTTTGGTCCTGGTCCGCATCATCGCCATGGCTATTCGAAAAGCGCTTGAGCGGCCTGCGATTCCTCAAGCACTGGCACTAGACCCATCGGGCAACCATTGCGAGCTGTTGTTGTGTCAGTGTTGATGAGTACCCTCGAGCCAAGTTTCCAGAGCAAACACAAGATTGACTGGCTTCTTTGGCAACACCAACGCACGGGTTTGGATGCTCCTCCTCCTTTTCACTCGCGGCCTGAAGGTCGGTCGGGCCAAGCCTTGCAAGGCTTCGCAGCGTCCATCCGTCAGACTGGCTGACCCACATCCTGCCGCTGCATCAAAGTCCAAGCGAGATACCAAACTGGCCTGCCTGCAAAACAAGCAGCCGAAATCGGCACCGGGCCGCCAGGGGCTGAAGGGCGGGGGTTTCTGGGGTCCTGGGATCACTGGGGCCTCTGGGGTCCCTGGGTCCCTAGGGTCCCTACATTCCCTAGGGTCCCTCCTAAGGTCCCTAGGGTCCCTAGAGTCCCTGGGGTCCCTGCACACGTGTGCATCAGACGTCTCGCCAAGGCCCCAGAGTGCGCTCATCCCTGTCAACGCACGGCGGGTTCAGGGACCTTGGGGACCTTAGGGACCTTAGGGACCTTAGGGACCTTAGGGACCTTAGGGACCTTAGGGACCTTAGGGACCCTAGCAACCCTGCAAACCCTACCCTAGGGACCCTAGGGACTCCGAGGACTTCAGGGACCCAGCGACCCAGGGACTTCAAGAGATCCTTGGTGGCCCCAAGGATTTTGGGGCTTGAAGGGATCTTGGCAAGAACTTCACGCCGGGTACCACTCAGCCTGGGCATTCTCCAGCATCAAAGGGTCATGCAAAAACACAAAATGCCGAAGCCAAGACACACACACACACACACATTGCAAATGGGCCACAACACCACAACATCATCTCCCAACTACAAACACGGATGTAGAAAACACCATGTAGAGACATACCAACATAAAGGCACAAAGACATAAAGATATAAAGATATAAAGAGAAAGGTATAAAGATACAAAGATATAAAGATATGAATTTGTAGAAATACAAAGATATAAATATATGAAAATTCATAAAGAGATACAAATACGTAGAGATATGAAGATAACAATGTATGAAAATAAATAGATATGAGTACACGAAGATAAATAGATGTATGGCAAGTTGCTCGAATGGAAAAACAACAGAAGCTTTGCCCTTCCGCGCGTCTTTGTGGCAAGCTGCAACCAACCGAAGCTTGAGAGATGACTTCACACTTCACGGGATCTCTTGCCCCCAAGACCCAGGGTTGCTGGGGTCCCTAAGGTCCCTGGGGTCCCTAAGGTCCCTTAGGGTCCCTGAGGTCCCTAGGGTCCGTAAGGTTTCTGGGGTCCCTAAAATCCCTGAAAACGCCGTGTGTTGACAAGGATGGATGCACTTTGGGACCCTGGCGAGACGTCTTGATGGAAGGACGTTGTTTCATGGCACCCGCGTGCCCAGGGACCCAGGGACCCCAGGGACCCTAGGGACCCCAGGGACCCTCACTGGGTCAAAGATCAGGGGGGCTGACAGATTGGTGACAAAGATCAAATGACAATAACCTGCACTGGACCTCTTGGCCATGACAATGGAACGCGGCGAGGGCCCGGGCGGAACGTGGAGCTCGAGGCGCAAGCTCAAAAGTTCGGAGTGCCTGAGCGCCAGGAAAAAAAAAGACGATTTTGAGGAAACCACACTGCCTGACTTACAAAAAACCTGACAGTACGACTTGACGGGGTTGCGGCAATCGCTCTCAAGGTCAAGGGTTCACCAGGTTGGAGAGACAATACAAAATGCGGGCCTGGCTCAACGAGGTCACGATTTCCAAAGATACACGGGCCTGACGGCGCGGCTTGACGGGGTTGGGAAAAGCACACAAAAAAGCAACGCAAACCACTTGGGCCTCACCGGTTGGGCCCAACCCTGAAAGCTCAGTTGAAATCCGCGCATCAACACTGACGGCGCAATCAGCAAAAAGGCCCAGGCAGAACGTCTTCGAAGTCGCGCAAATCCTGGCACGGGACGGGGGGGGGTGTCCGGGCCTCGCTAGGCCAAAGATCAGGGGGCCTGACAGATTGGCGAGTTGGGACCCAAACCTCAAAGATCAGTTGGCATTGATGGCCATGACAACGGAAGCAGCGAAGGCCCGGGCAGTATGCCCCGATGTCAAAACAAAGCCTGGCACGCGAAAACACGACCTTCAAAATCCAGGACCAAACCTGAAACACTGCTCAAAGGCCGAGTTGACACCAATCCGCACAGGTGCCCAGCCAAAGAGTCCCCAGTAGCACGAATTGGATCCACCTGCAAGCGGCCAACAAAAAGTGACAAAAAGGCAACTCGCGGCGCTGCGAGAAGATCTGCACGTCGAAGTCTGGGCACAGGGCACGTGAGGTCAAGAAAAACTGTGAGTCTGAAACCACGCCTTTGCACCCGCGAGCGGTTCCCGCCCCGTACCCCAGAGTGTCCCCGAATCTCGCCTTCACAAGGCTCACGTGCTTGGGGAAGCTCTTTCCAAACACGACCGACAACGTAAAAATCGTGAGAAAAACGCAACACCGGCAACCTGTCATGCAAAATCACGCCCAAAAACCATGCAAAACTGAATTTACGGAAAAACAAACAAAAACGTGTTTTTTCCGGAACTGGCGGCCCTCGAGCCGCTTGAGCCAGGGCCGTCCCTTTGGTCGGACCATTTTGTTGTCCGCCCTATAGGAAAAGGACCGGCAAGCAAAAGTCCCGAACCATCGCCACTAGCTTCGCCCTGGGCGAGGTGCAGACGAGCCCCAAGGGCGCCATCGTCTGGCAGTCCGCGTGGACTCACGTCCTCTGGAGCCCAGCAGCTTCGGCGAGGACCAAGGACCCAGGCAGAACGCCTGCCTTGCGATGGAAACGGATTCCGAGGTCTGGGCGGCCTGGGAGGAATTCGAGAAGCTGTCTTCGCGGTCGAGCCGCATTTGGGACTACGGCGATGTGAAGGACGGTGGCAGAGCTGCCTCAAGGAGTCCCGACAGGGAGCGACCTTCCTGAAGTGCAAACTGGACGCGCGGAACGAGGCTGGCGGGCTGCGTGCGCGTCGAGGCCTGGCAGGTCTGGATTATGGGCAAGCAATGCGGCCTGGTGGAGGTCCGCGACCTGCAGGTGAACCCCGGCACGGGTGGGGATTTTTGCCCCTTCTAAAACTGCGTTCTGTTTATCGTGGATGTCAGACGTAAGCCCGTAACTGACCCCGGCGGCCTCGAGAGAACAGCGAGGCCCCGGGGCACCCAGGGTTAGGGGGCCTAGCGGACTTGGGGGGCCGGTTCGGCAGCAGGCTCAGCTCCTCAGCTCGTGCTGGTTGAGCCTCCAGCAGCAGAGCAATTGCATGTTCACACGGCAGCGCTGATGGCCTCAGCTTCTGGAGCTCACCCAGGTGCTAATCTGCATGTGACGGCCTCGGATGAAGAGCGTGTCAAGGGCGCCGTGCGGCTTGTGGAGTGCGGCGTGTCAGCAAAGTCGTCGATGACTGGTACAGTTTCTTCATTTCCAACTTCTTGGACGCTTCCGTGATCTTGCGCTGCTGCTGGATGATGCGCCGCAAGGCGGACTCATCCCACTCGTCCCAGTAAGCCTGCTCACGCTCCGTGTTCACCCCCAGGTCCTGCTCGATGTACTTCTTGACGGGGATCCAGCCATCATCGATGTTGACGCTTGGGCTGAAAACGTAGATCCGCTCAAACACGCCCTTGTACTGCTCCAGGATGAGACTGATGAGCGCCACAGTTTTGCCCGACTTGCTGGGCCCAAGGAAGATGCCCGTGCATGGCACCAGGGGCACCACGGGGTCCGAGGCTTGCTTGCTGGTGTACTCAGGCGTGGGGAAAAGCTCTCGGGCTGGCGCAGCGGCCTGAATCGTGTGTGTAGCGTGGGGAAAAGCTTGATCTTCCCCATTCGTCCTTTTGCGTTACGCAAGTTCCGGAAGCCGGCAGCTGAAGTATACGTGGCCTATCTGCGGCTGCCCTAACCCAGCACAGCAATCCTGTTGCCGGAGGATTGACGGAGACGCAACCCAAGGCTCACATGCAGCAAATGAGGCCAAGAGAATTCCACCCTTCTGCTCTGAGTTACCGTTGCGCTTAGAAAGCACTTATCATGCTTTTCGAGCCACAAAGCTCCGCAACAGAAACGCACTTGCAAGGCCAGAAACAGCACTTTAAGCCCGGGCAACTTAAAATTCCGAGACGCACAGAATGCGACTAGGACCCGTTTTGCCTGCATATTGAAGCAAGCTGAAAACCTTTGCAGAAGTGCAAGCAGAAGGGCTGTGGCCGCACCGCGCAAAACCAATTTTCGCAGAATCCACATTTGCTGAATGATAACCTCTGAAGATGCGCTGTGAGCGGTTTTAGATTTCACAAACAACAGAGAGAGAGCGCGGCCGACAACGACTACGCGGGCGTCACCGGCACCTTCCTCGGCATGTTCCTCGCAGGGCGTTTGGAGCACGGCGCGCCTGGACTTCTCGGCGCCGCCGGGCGGAGTCGCAAAGCTACACTTCGGACGGGCTGGCGCAGCAGTCGGCGGGCACGCTGGACCTGTGCAGCCTGCAGATCAGGGCCAGCGCCTTTGAGGGAGAGTCGGTCTCAGCCACCGGCACCGTCGCCGGAGCCACGCTGTCGTCCACGGGCGCCGTGTCAGGCAGCTCGCTGAGCATCACCGGGGCCTGAGCTCGCCACAGGAATCACGGGCAGCACACTCACCACAACAACACGGCCAACTCGCTGGACTGCGAGAGCCTGGACTGCACCTTTACGGCCACGAGCGGCGGAGTGTCGACGGGCAGCGTGGTGCCCGTGAAGCTCGTGTTGCAGACCACGTTGCCGTGTCACGAGGCAGCCGGGGTTCCTCTGGTTCGTGGTCAAGGACAGCTGCGTCGAAGGCTCTTCGTCCCGCGCCTTGTTGTTGAGCATGATGAGCTCGCACTGGTGCGCCCCGCCGTCTCGCTCCAGGAAGACCCTTGCGCTCTGGTGCCCAGCAGCCGCAGCTCCGGTCCGCTGTCGGGGAGTTCTTCGTCAGGAAGAGATCGTCCGAGGCTTCAACTCCGTGGAGGCCAAGCAGTACAAACGCCCGGACATGAACGGGGACCTGAGGCTGGCTTTGCCTCGGACGACTTCGCAGAAACGAAGTGGAAGAATTTGACGGGGACCACGCGGTGGAGCGACGGCACGGAGATGGTCACCTCGACTACTCTTGTGCAAGGGCTTCCAGGCCGGCTGGACGAGGTGGAAGCCTGGCAGGCAGCGAGGGCGTAGACGTTGTTGGCCTCGAACAGGTGCACCACGAAGTTGGAGGCCGTGCCAAGCCGGTACCGGCAGGCGAAGAGGAGCTGGCGTCAAGTTGTAGGTGCGCGCAATGCTCCACAGGTTCACTGCCAGGGTCAGAGTGTACCGTCCACGCTCACTGCGCCCGCGGTGTGGGTGGATGACCACGCTGCAGCCGCTGCGGGGCGAACCGTCCAGTTTGACAGTGAGACGTGCGTGTGGCCCAGGATCTGCTCTCCTATGGCGGCCACCACCTCGTCGGCACCTCCGTCGTCCGGAAAGCGCACTGCTATTTGCAGGGCCGAGGCTGCCTCCGTGACTCCGAGTCGAGCTTGCCCGCAAGGAGGCCGTCCACCTGTGCGATGGTGTAGTAGCTGAGCAGGGCGGCGGCGATGCTCAAGGCCGTTGCCGTGTCCTGGTCGGCGCGCCACCAGCGCCGAGGTGATTTGGTTGGTTGTGAAGACGTCCTGGTCGGGCCCGGTAGGCCAGCAGTGGCCGCCTGCGTCTGCGTGTCCTGCGCGCTCGCCGTCCGGTAGTCTCCCAACAGGGCGCCCGCTTGCGCCGAGGTGTAGTCTCCGCGTCCTGCGCCGTGCCCGTTCGGTAGTCTCCCAACAGGGCGTCCGCTTGTGAGGAGGTGTAGCGCAGCCGCGAGGGCCGCGTCCGCCGCGCGACGGAGTAGCAGTCGGCCGTGATGCTCAGCGTGTCGTCGCCGTTGGCCAGCGTAGCAGAGAGAGGAGCCTCCAGATGCAGGTTGCGAACGACGTTGCTTCCGCGAACAAGCTCCTAAGTTGTGAAGCCCGCCCAGGCCGGCGCGTTAACAACTCCGCTGCCGGAAAGCTGCAGGGCGGCAAGCTCCGCGAGGATTGCGTCGAGGGCGCTCTGGAGTCTCGCTGGCTGAGAGCGCGGCGTTCGTGGCGTACGAGGCCAGCAGCGTCGCGTCGGCCTTGGCCCCCTGGAGCGCCGTGCTGGCGTCGCGGCTAGCAAGCTGCGCTGCGACGAAGGCCTCGGTGGCGAGACCCAGCAGGGCATTTGCTATCTTGGTGTCTACCTCCAGCAGCGTGTCCAACCCGTCCACCGTGGAGAGCAGGGCGGCCAGCGCGCTGGCGTCCGCCTTGCCGGCGAGGGCGGCGTCCAGGGCTGCCGTGGTGACTGCGCCCAGGAGGGCCGCCGCTATCTTAGAGTCCACCTCCGAGAGCGGGGCGTACGCGGTCAGCGCGCTGGCGTCCGGCTTGGAGGCCTGCAGCCCCGAGATGGAGGCGTGTTGGCTCGCGAGCTCGGAGGCCAGTGACGCCCCCCTAGGAGAGCGTTGGCCACCTTGGTGTTGACCTCCAGCGGCGTGATCCTCGCCGCTATGTCTAGGGAGTGCTGGTCCACTACCGTCTTGAGGCCGTAGTTGGCCTTGCGCGTAGGGCGTCAGAGCCAGGGCCAGCTGCCCTGCGGTGACGTGCGTGCCGTCAGTCACCTCTCCGTTGTCCAGGACCTCCGGGATGTTGCCGGTGACAGGTCCTTCAAACATGTTTTCCTTAGGAGTCGTTGCGCAAAGTCGGCCCTGGAAAAAGCTTCGGAAAACTCTCAAGGTCTGCCGGCTTCCTGCCTCTTCAGGCTTGGTCGGATTGGACGAGGTCTGAAGAGAAGGCGTTGGGACAAAGTTTGCGCAAGTACGTGTCACCCCGCAACACAGTCCGGAAAGCGATGCCGGCTCCGCGGCTTCAGTCTTGGAGCGCGGCCGGCTCCGCGGCTTCGGTCTTGGAGCCCGCACCAGGCCCGCACCAGGCCCACACCAGGCCACACCAGGCCCACACCAGGCAGTTCACCGAAAATTTCGCCTCGTCCTTGGGTGGCGCGGGCTCGGCTTGCCGCCGCGTAGCACGTGCTCGGCTACCAGGGCACGAAGTGAGGGACAACATCCTTCACTTCTGATACCTATAGTGTACCGCAGAAACTATGCACGGCGTACATAGTTTCACCGGTCAAATAAAAAGCGTGCTACAGTCGTCCCCCCGCACGACAACTGGAATTTTTTTTCCTGGGAAGAATCCCGACCTTGGCGCGGGCTC